GGCAAAGAAGTGGATTAACGTCCTTAGGTACGGTCGGCGGTAATTGGCAAAATCAGGTGGAGAATTTGCCTTCTATGGCAATAAGTGATTGCGGCTAAATATCTCCTGCAACTATTATAATGCTACAAAGAATATAGGATTAGATTGTTTCGTATGAGATACGAGAAGCTGAAACTTAGAATTTTCAAACTTCTTTACAGGCATGGTTCATTTATTGACAATCGCTCTATCATTAGCTATGATTCTCAATGACTGGCCTGTTCGGCCGCTGCGAAAATCTAGAGCACATTATTAAATAGAGACAATTTTAAAATAATTTTGGAATTTAATTGACTCCAGTCATAATCGCTGGAGGAGGTGCCTTTTCACCTTCTCCCCCTAAATTGTTGACGGTGGATTTCAGCTGCAATCGACTAACCAGGACTAATGAAACTTCCCAAACGAATAAAGAGTTCTTTTGTTTAGCACAGGATCTTCCTTGCTCTAATTGCTGATTTACCATGATGGCTATCACAGGGACACGGTGGTACTTAGGATCAGCCGGCTCTTGCATGAGAGATAGTTTCACAATTATTCGAGGTACTTGAGATCAAGTGATCCGTTGTCAACTGGCATTGTCATTAGTGTGCACGGAGTTGAATAAACATACATTTTCTATGTCGTGTGTATTTATTTAGAACATCTTCATATGTTGCCATAGTCTGACCACCTTCATAGCCTGACCGCCACAATAAGCAACGAGATAATCGAGCAACGAAAAAATCTAGATTGGGCTGAGTATTGTTCTTACTGTACCAAGGATCCCTTTTTTTTTCGGCCAAAAGAAGTTGGTTCTGTAGCAGAAATAGCATTCGAAAATGGCGCGGAAATTTGAAAGCAAAAGGTTGCATAACGCAAGTAAATGACATGGTCCACTTAAACCTTTTTGTTAAGTAACTCAAACAATGACGCATCGAACATGATGACTCGTGGCCATCTGTTTCTCTCTTGCTTTCTTATGTAGGAGTTAATGCTGCTGAGGTACTGTGTGCCATTTTTGACGGTGCCACGGCACCGACTCTTGGGAATATTCTTTTCGATATATCATCCGTTCTCTGAAAATTATGCTCGCTTCTGTCGCCTTCGATGCGATAATCGGAAAACAAACGATTGAACTTTTTTTTTTTCAATATACTGCATGCGCAATACCCTGAGCCTTGATCAACGCTCTGAAAAACAATACGTTCTATATCCTGTGGCCTGGTAACGCTTTCTACAGGCCGCAGGCCTATGATTCGCATATGGTCAGCAATTGTTTCCGTTATAAGGGGGAAAATTTCCGAAGCGCCGAATCCCGCTTGTGAGAAAGCAGTTAGAGATACGGCGTCTCGCCGACCCAGTGTCTACAGGATGGATAGCCACCACCGCTGGAATTGGTTCTCAGAGAAATACATGTGCAGTACTTAATTGTTGACTGTGAATCATATGAGTGGGAAAATAATATAGGATTTATTTTGATTTCATATATCATGCAATTGATCTATTTTTCGTCGGCTGTTTATCGTGCGGCAAATATATGGAGGAAGTACGTTGTTCATACCGTCTGCTTAATTTTAAAAGTAGTCAAATCTTACGAATATTAATGACGATTTCGATACGTTAATTATTATTATCTTAATTATTATCTTATTAATTATTAATTATGAACTTTACGATCCATAGATATATATTCTGCTTATAGAGTATACAGCCTGGCCACATCATCTGATTCTTCTATGAATCTGCTATATAATTCACATTGGTTTTTTTTGCGTAAGCTTATGTTGTTTGCAGAGACTATCACGGCAGTGCGCGGGCGCGATTTGTCATTGAAAACCGTTTGGCTTTGCTGGAAGATTATGCTTTGTCAATCAACTCAGTTTCAACATGGCCAATGGAATTACTCAAGATCAGGATGTCAAAAAAATATTGACCAGTATTTATTAATTTTCTAACACTGGTCTCCTGTGGACCCTGAAGATAACCTCAGCTGAAACATGGAAATTTACTTTTGAGACTATGGATACGAGTTAGAAGCGCGAGCAGCTCGCTTGCGCTAAAGGCTTAACAGACGAGATGGTTAGAAAGCAAACGGATGAGTATGTTCTAGGACCACTACAACAACAGCAAGACAGACTGACAGAACACGCAACGACAACGCCATCAGCAGCAATAGGACAAACGTTTCAGGACAGGCTTCCAGATGACAGCCTTCGCGCGGTTTGGCCGTAGAATTTGTAGAGAGAAAAAGTGCCACTACCGCTAGCGGCTGAGCAGACCACTTAGGACGGGGACTAGAAAGCTACAGAGCAATGCATCGGCAAGAGAAACTGGCCAGACGAAGCTCAAAGTCGTCACTTGGCAGTTGTGTGTCTTTCTGCTGCAGGCTTTTAAGATCCTGTCCGCTTAGACCACTAAGAACAACACCGGTAACGACTGGCGCCCAATGTTTCTCTGGTCTTCTCTTTATCTCTGTGAAAAGCCGTCGTTGTTAGTGAGAGTACTCGGCGTTCTGTGCCTTGCTGTTGTCTTTGTGGGAACGGCGCGACGCCGCCATAGCCTTTCGCGCCATCCGGGGACGAGCAGTCGTTGCTCTGGACAGCAAAAATATCAAAGAAGAGGGAAGAGTAACCCAGGCAATGGCCTACAGACGTAGCTAGATGAAAAGAGACCAAGATGAAGTTGCTTCTTACGCAGTTTCTTTATTTTTCTGCCCTCATTCCCCTCCCACCCCGCTGCTGATAGGCCGATTGCTATCGCCTGTGCTACTCGCATGTTCGAGTATCATACTGTGCAACGCGATGCAGTGGTGACGTTCTAGCCTTCGGCGGGCAAAGGGCGTCGAACTGCGGTTGACTGCAAATAGCGTATCGCTGAAGAACACCCTATGAGGGTCGGTGTCGTCCACCGTTCATGACCTCTGAGCAAATTCACACGAGCTGCATGGTGAGGAACGGACTCATAAGGAAACATCCGTGCGCTAGGAATATTGTGTAAGACAATGGGTACTCGGAAAAAAACAGAGGATAGAAAGGACAAATCCTTCTTTAATGCCTTGTGTGTAGAGCCTCGCCAGGCCGATTATATCTACCACTATTTATTCAGGTGCATAATGCGTGTCGGAGTCGATAGTTATGTAACCATAGGCTTGTCCCTCCGCCTTCTGATATTTCTCAAGGCTCATCCAGCGTTAATTAAAATGGGAGAAATTATAGCACTAGACTATAGGTCATGCTTCGTCATGTTGGCTCTCAATTATGTATTTGGAAAACCCTAACAGCTTGACTCCTAGCGTCTACGACCGCGAAATGCCGGATGTATTTAAAGCAGTAGCGTAATACTGCTCGCAGATATCAAATGCGACTTTACGGTGAGGCAATATGGAGAACTTCGATAATGATGTCCTGTAATTTAATTTTTTTCGCATTAATACACTCGACGGACGCTAGCTGCGTGCAGCAACATCAGTCAGTGTCGACTCGACTGGTCCTAGCGTCAGCTAAAATGTGTGAAGAATTGGTTGAAGAAACGCAAAGCCAGCGATGCTATCATCGGGGATGGCATTTAGACGAGCCTAAAGGTCGCCACCTGTGCGACAACGGTGAAGCAGGAACTGCACGACAGCAATAATGGCATGCCCATGGAGTGCCCACTTTTGAAGATGCTTGGGGTCATACGTACTTTTTGGTAATGCCAAAAAATTAAAATATAACTATTTATCTTAGCCTCTGGATTGTGTTAGGAATCTGACTGGTACGGCTGCTGAACCAAACTGTTGTATCTTTTGCACATAGTAAGTTAAAAAAATTTTCAAAAATGTTAGGGGCACGGACGAAGTACTAGAAATCGTCTTCGCAGTGATTTTATTTCAGCTCATATATTCCGCATTGAAACTTGGGCTAGTGGTCTCTACACTTGTCACTGGGGGCATAGGCATGAAAGCCGCCAAATTTTCGATGACCACGCGTCCTAAACTTGTGACACGGTTCAGCTTATGTCGAAATCAGTAAAGCCCAATACGCGGGCCTAAAGGAAGGCAGCGATATGTTTCGTAATAAGGTCCAGAGGGCGATATGCAGGTAGAGGGACACATGCACATAAAGGTCAAACAAAACTAACTAACAAGGATCCTGATTCACTCGAGTCGTAGCTAACTTTGTTGAATTGTTTTTTTTTTTTTTTTAAATTGTAGCACGTTTAGTATATAGCAACAACAAATATATTAAGCAAGATCATAATTTTGCATGACTCGCAATCATGGCAAGAAATATATTTTCTACCAGGGTCAATACTATTTTTTCGAGTGTCAAGGAACATCATCAACTGTCGTGGATATTTTTTAGGTTTCAGTTCCTAAGTTAAGCAGCAAAAAAGCTAGGACAATACGACCTTGCATAGTCCTATTTATTGTTGTTGTTTTAATAAGTAACTCTAGTTACACCCATTCGACAAGCCTATTAAGAGAGAAGGAGGTATATCGTTTTACGAGGACCACATCGCTAAGTTACCACTCACTGATCCTACGAGAATATTTACCCTATAAACACGTGACACGGAGGCAAAGCACGATATCGCTGAATAAACATAGCCACGCGAGCTATCGACGCTGCTTATTAAGTCACGTCTCGTAAACATTTCACTTTGCCTCGCCCTTCTCAATAGAAATGAATATTCTGGCTAAAATAACTGGTGCCGACAAACCCGTACGCGTAAATACTGTTAACAAACGTACTAACAGCAAGCAAATGGTTTACCCGATTTCAACTAATTCACGCAGTGTAATCTATGTAAAGCACCGTACTAGATTTCTAGCGAGATCCACTGCACTACATATGAAAATATTTTAAAAACACACGTTCTATCGGCTTCAAGTTTCTAAGCCTGGACCAAATATTGTCATGTATCAAATACGCATTTCAATCAAACGAAGTTGCCTTTGAGATGATCTGATACCAGGCGAGTGTAACATTTTTTAGGCTCACCTGTCTTCGAGGCCACGGTCGCTTCTGTAGAACAGAGCAAAACACTGAGTGCAAACCACAGATGGAAACTCCACCTGCGCCGGCGAGGCCTTACAAAGTACATCTTTTTTTCGTTACACCTGATCTACCTGCCCAATGCAGTTCGTATCGAGCGTCCGTTACTCCCACCGATCGCTGCCGGAAATTGGGTACCTTGGGTTCACGCACAAAGTTTTTCGATTCCCGTAAAGCCTTCCGTACTTGATTGCACCACTCCCAATTGTAGCGCACCGCATCCGCAACCCGTATCCAATAAGCATTCACTATTGTTTAAGAATTTTCACATGGTTTCTTTTTTAGTTTTTGGTCAGCGACGTAGTGAATAATAAGAGCAGCTTCTTATCGCATCCTGTATCAGGAACTGAGTCCGTCTGTCGACTAAAGTACCGCTTGCTGCTCCGCGCGCAACATGCCACTATTATTTTACGTACACGAGCAGCTACTTTTGTTCTCGGGTAAACTGTTTTAGTTTATAGCGGCGAAGCGTCGCCAGTACGTGTAAGATCTTGAAGGGCAAAGCGTATTCTACTGAACTTTCGTGTGTCGCGTCGCTATACACTGGTGGCCAGGGGTTCTAAATTACTGCGCGTTCACATTGGCCCAACCACGCCCTCTAGGAAGTCGTGAAATATCTTCTCCGACGTTCTCCAAAATTGGTCAACAAGTTTCAGAGCCCATAAAAGCATCGGACCGGTCTTTGAATTCAAGATGAACAAAATATTAGCATACTCCTTGACATGCAATTTAATCAAACAAAGTTTAACCCACCCCTCTAATTGACACTTGCCGAGTGCTTCATGTAAAACTCTTTGAGAATAATATTTTCCTATGAGTTTGCCATAACTGGGAAAGAACGGCTGTACCTCTGCTGTCCTGGGTGGAACGACTGAGTAAAGGCACTGCGCGCTCAAGCGAAACAACGCCGGTAGCGACAGCACAAACCCCCTCGATGGCTCATTCGAAACTACATCTGAGCCGTATGTTGTGATCTGATCGTTTTCTGGCCACGCGGAGAGGGTGGGCTATGCGAGTTCCTATCGGGCGAGGGAATGGTTGTCTTTTAGCCTCCTTTCCCTCCAGTACGTGTGCGGAATCCTTGCCGGTTCTCAGCCCTGTGTCACAACAAACCGGTACCGCCGACAGAACGCTTGGGTATCTCTAGCGTTCGTTGCTAGTGCGCGATCCGTGACGCTGGTTGACAAGCTTGGCTAGATATACCAATTCATGACATTTTATTGAATCCTTCCTGAGCGTAAAGGCTATTGCTTAAAGTGTTTGTTACTGAGTAGACATTCCCCTTTTTTTTGGCCACATGGCAATTAGTTGACAAAATGGCAGCGATCAGGCACCATCGACTAAAGTTGAGCAGGAACCTACGCATGAACACCGTTTGTTACTCAATATCTATAGGCCATTAATTTGCTTATCCTATTTTTTATTATATGTTTTGTTTGACAATATGTGACACTTCTGCCAAGGAAACAGAAGCGCATCCTTTTAGACAAATGTTTAGATAGCACCTTATTAACCTTTAGATGTTTTTGCCCCAGATACAATTTTGAACAAAATACGGATCAGATGTAGGCATCCTGAGTGTGTTTTGGGCATATCGTTAGACGTAAGTACAGAGTAGCCTACTCATGAATATTATTGCCGCAATTATTATTAAACGTCCTGTTAGTCCTGTTACTCTGTCGCTCCAGTTTACTAATTAGGTCTTAATCAGGTCAATATTAGGTCTACGAAGCTTTCCAAGCCTTATTATTAATTATGGAACTGCTATTACCAAGGATAGTAAATTGGTGTGTTGTTACCTTATAATATTCACAATAGTAAATCTAATATTGATTTACCAAAATTGAGATATCCATAATCGTGCATGACTCATTTGAAATACTTTCTTCACGAAGTGTTCAAGTAAAATTTGCTTAAGAAAGATTCATTTCGTTATTTAGTTAGCGTCTAGACATACTCCAGCTTGCTTGCTTGCTTGCTTGCTTCATGGGTATTCGTTCGTAATTTTTATCAGTATTTACGGTCCTCTATCACCATGTTCGTCTGTCTACTCCAGACCTGTAAAGAGTTGCCAAATACTATGTAATAGCTTAGTCTCGACATTTGTAAAAAGTCGTTTGAAAAGCTGATACTCGCTAATATTCATAAGTGATAGCCATAAACCATTTTTAATGACACCTGCGACCGTCACTGATTAGTGACGATCTTTTTAAATTACATCAATGTCAAACTAGCGTCCGACTCTTGCACTATGGAATTCTGTAACGTTATGTTTTCGGAACGGAGCTTTGCTGTGGTTCACAACAGATATCTTCACCAGCCGGGTTGAGGCCGGGTTTGTTGAAGATATCGCTGTTTCTAGTGTCGAGGATTTTCTTCTACGGGAATGCTAGGGAAAATGCTTTCTGCCTTGCAAAGATTACTGGCTTTCTTTCCTATCGTGGCCACCGAGTAGCTCTTAGTCCTTATCACCCAACCGAAAAATAACGGGCCCTATTTTTTCGTTGTTATTAATTATCTACTCATATATGTACTTACGTGATCTCTATAAATTTAACTGCTTATATTTTAGGTGATATTTGTTCACTTAATGTCCGTCAGTCAAAGCCGTAAAAGGGTCAGCCAAAAATAGAACAGACGGCCCCAAGTTTATATGTCGCCTGCTCGAGAAAATTTGTTCAGCAAGAAAAAAGCTTTTAAATGTAGATCACGGATATTAGATTGAAGCTAAATACGCAGAACGGCTCTTTAGTAAAGCCCGCTTTTGGGGCAGGCAGAATTCGACATTCATATTCTAGTGTGTGGGCTTAACCCAGTTGAGGTTCAGTTACGGTAAACTACTTATTAGCTAGTGCCACCGCTCCTTCTAGACTCTCTCTCTCTCTCGCTCTCTGTCTCTCTCTCTCTCTCTCTATTGAGCCAAGTATCTAGATAACAACGAAGGTACTTCCTTTTTTTTTCCCATAATGATATGATAACGGGTGTTGTGTTCGTGCTAAAAGTTGTCCCGATTCCTCTAATTTTTTTTAACCTCCCATACATTTTTTTGTGACGCATCACAAAGTATACTAGTTCGAACGATTTCCACTTGACCTTAGCGTTCTGTTAAGACGAGATGGGTCGCTTTTAACTTCGACACGCGATGAGGCTTCTACTCGACGCTACCTATTTACGCAGCATCTACCGTTCCTTTAGCCTGTCTGGTCAAAAAGTCTGAATGGTCTACGTTATACATCATCATCATCGGCTGGCGAAATTCGGGAAACGAGTCAAGTCTATGGCTATCACCAAAGAATAGTAAGCCCGGAAGCAAAGAGATCGTTTGGTACTGAAGAACAACGCTCAATGATCAGGTTCCTGTCATTCTGAGGTGACAGTGCCCGTGGAACTGACCGAAAAAAGGGGCGATTCAAGGACGATTTCAGGAAGCGATGGATTTGACAGCGGTGCAATCACCTCTAAAACGGAAATAGGTTAATTGAATACCTCAGACGAGGTGACTTAGACGGAAGAATGAGTTGCTATTGGCACGGAAGCTTTCGGGCAAAATACAACAGAAACGATGTAACTTCCTTAGACTGAACGTGGGATTTCCTCGAGTAGATGCTGTATCTAACGAAAACGATAGAGATAAAAAAAGAAAAAAGCCAAAAATGCTTTAAGTTTACGGACCGAGTCTAGGACGAGGTATTCCTGAGATCAGGCAAAAGAGCTGGGTCGAACAGGAGAGAAAGCGACTTCGGTAACCATGTCGAAGAGATTCCGGCTGACTGGATTTTGAAGACATTTGGCATCAAGCGATGTTGTTTGAAAAGAAAACAATCAAAGATGTCTGGAATTCCCGGAGAAACTCGCGGATAAAGCTGACGTCGACAACAGTGTGGTCACTTGACGGCTACGTACGATCAAGCAATAACCTTGGATGCAATCTTCTCTAGACTTAACATTCAGTGCTTTCAATTGCTCAGATGATTTATAGAATGCGATAAATGGCCTTGCGTCATCTTTTTCGGTTGATTCGTTATTCGAACAGGCCGTTGCTAACAACTTTAGGTGCGGTAACGCAATTCACAGCTAGATGGCTCCCTAGAGCGCGATACAATAAGGTGAGTACATCTAACGTATACTGGAATATCATTGTTCTACTTTATATGATTAAAAATCTGTTCAAGACGGGCCAAGCGTCTCCGTACAACATTTATCGTAAGGGTCGATAGTCGAAATAACTTCATCGACATCGCACGGGCCATGTGCAACACGAGGGCTTTAGTCAACAATGGTCAAATAAATAGACCCCAGATTATCGAAGCCATTACAGGTTCCCTCAGCATCCGCTACGACCAATTTAAATTATAAAACTGTGATAAATACAACTGTAAACGAGAGCTAACAGGAATTTTCCTGCCGCATAAATTTGTGAATCGTACTTCGACGAAGCTAGAATCAAAATAGAAGGGCTCGTTTTTGGACAAGACTAACCCTGTGCCCAATGAATATTTACTGTAGTATTAAATTGGTCCATTTTATCTCGTTTGCTTAATGCCACCGGACGGAGTGCACTCATCCCGCGACCACCGCCTCACGTATTACCGACGAACGACGTTTGATCTTCTATTATTGAGAGTTATCGAAATATTCTTACTTGATACATCGCGATCGAACGGTATCGGCAACGCGGGCTTGCCACTCTGCTTGCCATCAATGTAACAACTGAAAGTCGTCTTTGACAGTATTGTGCCTTAAAATGCCGCTAGCTCGACACCTTTTTTTTGCCAGATCAAGACTGGCCAAGGACATGATCGCTTCTAAACGTGTTCATTCAACAATTCGCTCCCATCGCGGCTCCAATTTGAAATCCAATAGCGCTCATAAATAATTTAAGAAAAATCTCTTCTATATTCACCTTGAATAGCTTTTTTTCCAATAGTAATAAGAGTTTTTTTTTTAATTAGTAACTACGAATGAAGAAACAGTAATGCGTATAGACCCGCTGAAGTCTCGCTTGAACACAAACCTAGCGGATAACGCTTTTGCCTGCTAAGCCTAGGGGTCGAGGCCGAGCATAGACAGAGAGACGCACGGTTTGTTTCGTGCTTGTGCTGCAAGCCAGTCAATATCTGTCTGATCGAATGTCTGACGGGACTACTTGACGTAAGACTCGAAACTAAGTAAGTCCTGCGAACATCCTTAACGAATGCTAGGCCAAGAGTGACAACAATGGAAGAATGCAAAAACTCCCAAGTGTGCAAAAAGGCTCACCGTTCGTCCTATCCGAAATGTCCAGTTGACAGTAAATGGAAAACAGCGACTAGGTCGGGATCAGGATGATAGGATCATCAGGCATGGCCTTTAAAACACTTTGGTGAATATGTAGGGCCTTTCAGTCTAATTACAATTACAGATATTTCGCTTTGTAGATATCTTAGTGGAATGGATTTTTCAAAGAGTCTGTAAAAATCGGCAACGTAGATATGTCGATCACGGTAGCCAATGAAAACAAACATTATAAGCGAATATTCGGTGGGATTCGTCCGGGGCAAAGACAATGCATGTGAAACACTTTTAACATGCTATAGATTTTAAACAAAGAAAGTTGAAATAAAATATCTAAATATTTTATGTATTTGTATTTATGAATCTTCCACAATAGGCATGCGATCAGATGAACTTAGTTTGCATATTGCATAATGGGGCTAAAGATGAGCGTTCGGACACGAATCTGTCGGGCACAGTTTCAAAAACATCCGGATTACTTAAAAATAGCCATAATAGACTACATTTAGATTTAGCTTGATAAATTTAAGCAGGAATTTTTTTTTTTTTTTTTTTTTGCTATTGTTAAGACGATCAACAGAAAATTTCCTTAATTGAAGAATATTAATGGTTCGTTAATGGTATTTTAT